CCCTTGGACTTGATCTTGGGCGCTGCGTACTTGCGGGCTCCAGGCGCAGGACACTCCTCGTCGCCGGTCCAGTGACCCTTCTCGCCGCAATCCCAACACTGACAAGACTTGGTACTCCTGTCGACGCGGCCCTGCAGGTTCTTAGCAGGCGGGCGCCGTCGGTGAAATGCCCTCCCACGGCCCTTGAGGGCGTCCCGGGCCGACCGAATGGTGGCCATGGCCTCGGGGGCCCCACCCAATTCGGCCGCGGCAGCCTCCACCTTCGCGGAGTCGTCGCCGTCGAACAGCAGCCAGTGTGGTGTAGATGCTGAAATTGAACTCGCAAGTGTTCTCTAGGTTGTCGACTGCGTCGCTGACGCTGTTAATGAACTTGTGGATGCTGAAATTCACGTCGCAGACGTTTTCTGTGGTGTAGACGGCGTCGCTGACGCTATCAATGAGCTTGTAGATGCTGAAATTGACGTCGCAGGCGTCCTCTATGGTATAGACAGCGTCGCTGACGCTATCAGTGATCTTGTAGATGCTGAAGGTGACGTCGCAGACGTCTGGATTCTCGTGCAGGTAAGAGCTGGCGTCGCTGACGCTGGCGGAGTTGATCTTGTAGATGCTGAAATTGACGTCGCGGACGTCGAGGATGTGGACAGCGTCGCTGACGCTATCAATCACCGTGAAGATGCTGGAATGGACGTCGCAGGCGTCCTCTGAGACAGCGTCGCTGACTCGATCGAGGAACTCGTAGATGCTGAAATGGACGTCGCAGACGTCGGGGGAGTACTCGTACAGGAAGATGCTGGCGTCGCTGACGCTGGCGGAGTAGAGCGCAGTGCTCAGGCCTATGAGGGCTCGCAGGACGCCGCTGGGCGTCGATTCCGTGGCTCGCGACGGCTTCGTCGTGGCTGGATATGGAATGGCGCGCAGCGCCGGGCAGCTGAGACCTGCTCTAAGCTACCACTGTGATATGGATCAGCGCGCAGCGCCGGGGATCTTTTGTTGAGCGCGGCTCGAAACAAATGGCGCGGCTCTGGCCAAGGGCCCATTCGAGAGTAAACAGCGGCGGTCGGCATAGATACAAACAGAGAAGGAAAGAGCGGGGAATGAAACAGCAGGGCCCTCGGGGCTTCTGGGGAATCCCTCTCGGGCCTCCTGCGTTCCTGGGGAGTGAGCTTGATTCACGCCAGGAGGTCGCGGTCGGCGTGAGCGTTGAGGGTGGCCCCTGGCCCTAGCGGGTCGACGTCGTGAGCTTCGAGGTCGTCCGTGGCTGGTGTCCAGGGATCATCGAGTTCGTCGAAACGGTCGGGGCCTGGTGGCCCGGCCGTCCGTGTCTGGTGCTTTCCATGTTGGAGAGCTCAGATTGGGGGTGCTTTTTTTCTCCAGTGGAGCAGGGGGAGCGCGCTGTGTCGCTGATCATATCTGGCGATTGCCATGCTGTGGAATACCGCGGCGGCTTTGTGGCGCCATCTAGCAGCGTCGACCACGCTTTGCGGGGTGCTGCGGAGCCTCGCACCCGCAGTAGCGAGTTCATCGGCGCGGCGGTTGAAGCTTCAGCGATGGGCGTGATGCGGCCTTCGTTGGCTTCTTGCTTGCTGAGGTGACTTACGACCTGCTGACTTTTGAACAGGTCAGATTCCTGTCGACGGAGACGTGGACCAGTCGTTCCGCCGAAGCGACGAGGTTCAGCGCGGCGAGGGCGTCGGCCAGCTGAGCGCTGTGCCAGGCCGCGCAGGCGGGCCGAGTGGATTCGCTAGTGATGAGGACCGTAGTGCGCGCCATCAGTAGTGGGCGGCAGTGCCCCCTCCAGACCCCCGCAAAACAACTTTCTTAGGGCAGATGTTCGGGCGGGCTACAGTGTTTTTCTTATAAAAAAGTTGTGGCGTTCCAGGGAAGGGGCATCCGGATGTCGACCCATTCGAAGCCTGACAAGGGGGCGCTCCGACCCCACAAACAAATCAACCCTGGCGCATTTGTTCCTCCCGTATTTTTTGCGCGCGGAGGGAGGGGGGGCGCGGGGCGGGGCGCGGGTGGGGGGCGTTGGGTCTTAAAGCACGTCGCCGGACATAGTCTGGGCGCGCGCGAGAATTTTCGCGGGGCCGAAGCGCAAGATGAGGGCGAACCGAAGCTCGCGGGCGCTGGGTCGCGTCGGGTCAGGCGGGCGTCACCGGGCCAAATGCTGCGGGCGCCGAGCGAAAGTGAAGCGGTGCGAGCCAAAGGAAGTTATGGGAGCTAATGTCGCCGCGAACCATTAGGCGGCATGGGAGATTGAAACGCAGGGCGCGTAGCGAGATCCAGGCTGAAGCTAACCCGCGAGCCTTGCACCTTCAGGCGCGAATGAAGATCGAACCCCGCTGCGCGTGTAACCTCGGTGGGGCGAGGGGGGTTCATCGAGTCCACTTCAATGCGGTGCCGGCGGAGGCGCTGGCATGGGGGGCGCCGTGGCCCCTCGCTCGGCGGCCCGCTCACTTCCTCCCATCGCTTCGTCTCTGGGCGGGTCGTCGTGGCTGGCCTCGCCCGCGAATCCAGGGGGAAGCCGCGTGGGGCTCGGGCTCAGAGTGACATGCGCCGTCGGGACTTGCGCCGGCGAGCCGGGGGCGCCATTTGACGCGTGGAGGCCCCCTGATCTTGTTCAGGCTGGTCTGCTCAGATTGGACCACGTTGATCCCTTGCTCGAGTTAGTGGCATTGCTGCGCTAGGTCGGCCTGAATGGAGGCCGCGCTGGCGACCGCAGCTTCGAGGCGCATGGCAGCGTCTGCGAGCTGCTGCTGGTCAGCTTCTTACCCGCGGAGCCTCGCGTGCGCGTGGTCAGAAATGCCTTGGGCGCCAGGCTGTGACAGCCACCCCTCGTCGGCGATTTCATCGTCGTCGTCGCCCGTTGCCGCGCGCTGCTCGATCGCGGACAGAGGTGGGGCGTCGGCGCCTTCGATTCGGTCGGCTCCGCCCTGCCTGCGACCTATGGCAAGGCGGCTGTCATGCAATGATTTCCTCTTTGATGCTGCCGATTCGTTTGGGGGGGCCCAGCGCGCCGGCGTTGCCTGCGCGTCAGGTCTGGTGACCGCCCTGTCCTGCGGCGAGTGTAGGTGTTTGGTCCCGCTCTACCTCCAGGCGATCCCGCCGCGGGTTCCCCCGTCGCGACGGCCTGGGGTGAGACGATTGCAGCGGGTGGTCGTTTCGGGGCGTCGGCCGCAGCAGGGGCGCGCGCCTCCGTCCTGGCGATGGGCCGCGGGGCGGCGGGCCCGCGGGCGTGGGCCGTCGTCTTCCGGAGGGGGGCAGATCGATTTGACGATGGCGATGCCTCCCCTGGTCGCCATGTCCCAGCCATCGCGTTGGAGTGCGCCGTGCCATTTGATGGACGCGGGGACCTTGGCGATTTGCGTCGTAGTGGTGCTCCGTGGTTCGACGCCCGCGACGCGGTGCTTCGGCGGGAGCGGCGTCGGCCTCGCGGAGTTCCCGGGCGACGTGTTTCGCTTCTTGGGCGCCCGCCTCGATTCTGAGGCCTGCCCATGCGCCCGCGCGAGCGGCGCCGAAAGTTTGGTGTTTGGCGCGGGCGTTGCGCGCTTCCAGGGGCATGGTCTGGCAACCATCTGGTTGCGCGGGCGTGCGCTCGCGCGGCGGGGTCGCGCTGGGCGCCTCGTTGCAGGGATAAGGGGGGGGGGGTCAGAGGAACGCCTGCTGGCATGTTCGCGAAGGTGGCCGCGGGCCCGCGTCGGCTCGCTGCCGCGCCGAGGCGCTCTAGGAGCTCCGGGGCCCCCTGCAAAAGCATGGCGCGGACGCGTGGCCGAGCGCGGCTGCGAACGCGTCGATGAGCTCGTCGCCGAGCTATACGCGCGAGGCGCCTTTCTTGGTTGATGCGCGGCGCGGCGCGAACAGTTCCACGAGCGCAGGCGCGGCCGCGACGGCGCCGGCCGCGCAGATGGCGGCGCGGCCCTCGACGGCGGTGCCAGCTGGATCGGGTGTAATTTGGGCGACGTTTTTGAAGCTCTTTGGGCGCGCCCTGGCGCAGGCTCAGCATCAATGGCCGCGCGGCGAGGCACTGGGAGTGGAGTCTCTTTGTTGGGGTAGTCCGCGTTCAGGGCCCCCGGTGCAGCGGGCGCCCGAGGTTTGTCCAGTGCGTGGATCTGCTGTAGTAGGCGATCGCATTCTCTAGCGCGTGATGCGGGGTGCTACTGGCGCACGCTGCCCCGTCACCTTGGGTGGCTGCGGAAACGGGAACGCCCCATGTATATGCGCAACCAGACTGATGAGAGGGCCCTGCCTTTGCCCTCGTGGGCATGGGCGTTGTCTGTGGCCCCCACTGGTGGTGGGTCACGGTCTACAGCATTTTTGCTCGCCAAGAGTAACACAGGATGGCGTGGCTGATTTTATGGTTCAATCTCATTAGCTCGCCCCTGAGCCTGCGTGATTCAAAGCGGTGTTGTTGATAAGTGGTATCGAGACTAGTTTGGCGATTGTGAGCGAATTCGTCGCATGCAGCGGCTGATCGGTTGACGCCACCACTGCTATGGAGTGCTGCGACGCTTCCTTCCGACTGCGGTAGGTTACCTTACCTGTCGGTGTGCTAAGGTCGTTTTGGGCAGCCTTTGCCTGGTGGCTTGCGCTGCTTTGGTGCAGGGGGCGCGCGGCGATGACCGTTCGGAGCCACGGCGCGCGCGCGGATATGGAAAGGGGGGATGACACACATCAGTCACACACTGGGATGGCGTGTTCAGTCCCGCGATGCGACCAACGTTATTGCTAGGCGTTTCGTGCCGCTGCTGCGCATTAAACCAGAGACCCTCGAACCGACATTAGGAGAGAAGGGAGGAAAGGCGACAATGGGAGACAGCGGGAACACGCATGAGGAGGAAGCGCGCGGATGGTATCGCTGGCCCGCTTTCCGCCGCTGGTCCATTTGTTGTCGTTTCCCGGCCTCTCCTTCCATGGGCGACCGCGCGCCATTATTTGCATGGTAGCCACTCGCAGACAGCGTCGGAGCCAGGCTCTGTTCATCCCCCCCGCCGCTGGCCGAGGCGTCATCGCGTTTATCCTTCTCCTGGGGTACATGCCCTTTGCTGGGGACGAGGACAGGCAGAAGGACCACATCAAGGCCTGTTCTTGGAGGAGGACGCGAGAGAGGAACACGGGGAACGGAAGGGGGAAAGGGGGGGGGAGGAGCAGGCGGAAGAAGGAGTTGGAGGGACAGTAGCGGGATAGGGGGGGGGGAAGGCGTGATCGTGGATTCTAAAAGGGAGGACTTCGGAACGGCATGTTGGCTGATTCTGGCCGTGGCTGCTTCGGCGCGAAGACAACATGGCCGTTTCGCGGGAATCCGCATTTTTTTGTGGTCGGTCGGCGTGCAGTTGGCCTGCGCTGGACAGCAACGCTAAAGACAAGGTAAGCCATGTGCCCTTATCGAGCCGAAATCCACGCGTAGAAGAGTCGCGCAGAACCCAAGCGGCGGCCACCGCTGTGTCTCTGACATGCGTGTTCTTGTCTGTTGTCTTTCTCCGACGCCGAGTTTCGCACCGCAGGAACAAAACAACCGCGGCACGCGCCGTGCGCTACAAGTGAGCGTTGGGGAGCGGATTGAAGTTGGAGCAGGAGGAAGCTGTAGGGAGACCGTCGGATCAGACCAACCTATCCCTTGACGAAGTTATTTCCGATTCTAAGGTCGGGGGCGTCAAAGAGGGGGTTGATAAGGGGGTGGTGGGCATCATGGCGGGGCAATGAAATCTCCCTGGATTTCATGGCCTGGTTATTTTGTTTCAGTACGTTTCCGGGTCCCCCTCTGGGCCGCACACGTGCGTTTTACCATGATTTGCGACCCTCTTGGTCGCAGCCTTCCTTCGCGCCCCCGATCTGGGAGTGGGTAAGCTGGTTGGCTTGCTTAGGCTGTCGATTTCGGATTTTATTCAGCTGCTAGTGGCAAGGCCAGCCACCGTGCCAGCGCAGCACTATGTGTAGCGACACTACGAGCACCGAAGGCGATATCGTGTGACACCTCTCGCGTCCATTCCTTGTGGAGCTCTCGTGGGTGGTTGTTTGCGCCGCCTTTGAGTTGCCTTGGGCTCCTCTGGGGCCCTCTTGGGGGGCTCTCGTGGGACCCGCTTGGGCCGTGCGGGTGCTGTTTCCAGCCATGTGAAGCCCATCTCGGCCGTCTGACTCAAACAATAACTCCCAAGGGTCTTCTGACCTCCCAACAGCAGTGGAAGCCAGTCATCTGTTCGACGCCCTCATTGACGGACTCGGGTCCCACCAGTAATGGGAAATCATGTTTCATCCGCGGCACCCGCCGCGCAGCAACAACGGCGACGACGACTAGATGAAGGAGGACATCGTGAGCAACGCCTTGACCGAAGAATGTGTCGATCTATATTGCAATCCTCTGACAAACGACTCAACATTCCTTTGTCGCGCAGGGTCGCCAAGAGAGCATTATTCCCGGGGGAAAGAAGCCCCAAACATTATCCAACCCGCCCAACATTAAAGGGATAGTCATTTCCGCAGCGACGACGTCGACGATTACGACTACGACTACGATTGCGACTACGATTACGACTACAAACTCAACTACGATTACATGATTGCAAGCGCGATTCCATTCACGATTCCAATCACGATTACAGCCAAGACTACAATCACGACAACGACCACACCTGCCGCTTCCTATTGCAATCCTTATGGGAAGACTGTCACACATCCTCCTCGCGCGTAGGGTAGCCCACAATGGATGATTCCTTGGGAGAAAGAACCCTCCAACATGATCCAGCCCGCCCAACAGCAGAGGGAAACGAATCTTCGCCGTGACGACGACAACGACGACGACTACGATAACGAATGCCAGGAGGAGCAGGAGGAGGACGATAAGGAGGAGGAGGAGGAGCATCAGGAGGAAGAGGAGGAGGAGGAAGAGGAGGAGGAAGGGGGAAGGGGGAAGTGAAGGGGCGGGGGAGGGGGAGGGGAAGAGGAGGAGGAGGATGAGGAGGACGAGGAGGAGGAGGAGGAGGAGGAGGAGGACGAGGAGCAGGAGGACTAGGAGGACGAGGAGGACAAGGGACGAGGAGGAGGAGGAAGAAACTGAGGAGGAGGAGTTCAAGGATTATGAAGAGGAGGAGAGGGGGCAGGAGGATGACCACCAGCACCACCGCCAGCACGACCGCCACGAGCACCAGCATCACCAGCAGACTGACCGCCGGCACGACCACCACGACCACCACCAGCACGAGTGACCTCCAGCACCACAACTACTAGCCACCACGCCCACCACCAATAGGACCACCGCGACCACCACCAGCACGACCACGACGACCACGACGACCACCTCCAGCACGACCACAGCGACCACCCCGACGACCGCCGCCGCCCCCCGTCCCCCTCTCCCTTCCACCTCCATCCCCTTCCCCTGCCGGGCCGCCCCTGCTGCTACGCTTTTTGTGCGACTGTCCCCTCCTCCTTCCTCCTGCTGCTGCTGCCTTCCTCTCCCCTTTCTCCCGGTTGTATGAACTCTTGCGCAGGCCGGTCTCCAAAGGGGGGCCGGCCATTGTGTACAGGTGCAGGATTTTGGGGACCATTGCTCAGGGCAGCCCCTTGAGAGCTGGCGGGGGCGCCAGACCCGCGGCCAGCGAGGCGGGAGGAGGAGGGTGTAGAAGGTGGAGGAAGAGGAAGATGAGGAGGAGGAGGAGGAGGAGGAGGACCAGGAGGAGGAGCAGGAGGAGCAGGACAAGCAAGAGCAGCAGGAGGAGCAGGACGAGGAGGAGGAGGCGGAGGAGGAGGGGCGAGTTTGTGCCCCGCCAAGAGAATCCGAGGTGGGGAGCAAGCCTAAAGACCTACAGAGGTTACCCAATTCCGTGTCGCCGCTGCTTTTGGCTCCTCAGGATCTTACCGTGCCCGTGTTATTAGTTAGCCCTTGTTGAACAGCCGCACGCATTGTCCCAATGCGGGCGGCGGTTTCCGCATCGATTCTGGAGTTCGGACAGGCTGCCCGCGTTCAGCTCGCTCGCAGATTTGCCGTCGCTTTGGACGCCCCCACCCAGCGGATCTGACTTGTTCGTGCTTGTCCGGGCGATTTGGTGATGGTCCGGCTGGGCGTCGCGCGGAACCTTCACGCGCAACGTGTTCGAGGCCATTTTTGATGGCTGTTCCAAGATATTTGAGTTGAGTTTCCGCTGCGGCAAGGCCATTTGGATACCGTTGCCGCCCCGTTTTGCCGCGTTGGTGCGCCAGGGTCTTTATTGGTTGCCGCCCCGACGTGGGGCGATTTCTCAAGCCAGAACCACGAGGCGTATGTTGGCTTCGCGTTGGGCCTTGGCCGAGAAGGTCGTTTTGGAGAGAAGGCGCTGTTGAAGATGCGCGATGCATGGCGAGATGACTGAATTGCTGCTTTACGTTCCCCTCCAAGGTTGGCCTCTTGAGCCACATTAAGCGCATCCACGGCACGGTCAAAACGTCCCAGGCCCTGACGAAGAGTAATCAATGCACTGTGTGCTATGACATTTGTTGGGATCAGAAAACGACACAGACGCACGTGCACGGAGAACTGGTAAACGGCATACGCCGACGTTACAAGGCCACGCTCCGTTCCCTGCACGCCCCTCAGGCCACGCTCCGTTCCCTGCCCGCGGTCCCTGCACGCCCCTCAGGACTTCATACCTCCGTTCCCTGCACGCTCCCGTTATGCGGCTCCAGATCCAGTGAGCTCTTGCAGTGCAACGTTCACGCGTGCTCCCACTTGCCGGTATTTCCCTGTGTCTGTGACGGCCATACCCGTGGACGCTGCGCTGTTGGGCGGCGCCAAGATGCCCAGCTGGGTTTGCCCCATGGGCAAGAGAGGAGCCGAGTACGACGAGGAAACGCAACGGATGACGATGGCGACAGGCGGAGGGGGCGCGGCGGTGGTGGGCGCCACGCACATCGACTGGCTCACGGACGCAGTGGACGCTATCGCACGCATGGGCCTCGCCAGTTCCTGCCAGTTGGTGGACCTCGAGGCGAACGTGGTCGAGACCTACCTCGTCGACGAGACGGCGTGGTTCTCGAAGGCAGGCCTGGCCGCAAACGCACACTACGCTGCCCAGGCGAAGGAGCTCCAGAACAATAAGGAGCAGGACGAGGGCGTCGACCTGGCCAGCCTTGGACCCCCGTTCACCATGATCTGCTACCTCCTACTTCAGGGTCCGGTTCGGGCCGGTTCGGGTCGGTTCGGCGGCGGCCCGGTTCGGTTGCAGCGATTCGATTTCGGCGGCGGTCTGGTTTGGGCCGGTTCGGTTGTGCCTCGGGACGGGTTCGGTTCCGGGCGGTCGGGGGGGTCCTGGACCGGGGGGGTCCAGGACGGGGGGCGGTCCAGGACCGGGGGGGTCAGGGACCGGGGGGGCGTCCGGGACCGGGAGGGTCCGGGACCAGGGGGGTCCAGGACCGGGAGGGTTCCGGGACCGGGGGGGGTCCGTGACCGGGGGGGTGCGGGACCCCCCCGGACCTGTCCGGGACCCCCCCTGGTCCGGGGTCCGGGAGTTTGGGGTTTTCTCGGGCCTATCTTTGGCCGTTTCGCGCGGTCTCGTCGGGCGGCGTGAGGGTCCAGGCCCGTTGGGGCTGGTTCGGTTCCGCCGGTTCGGGTTCGACTTTCGGGCCGGTTTCGAATGGCCAGGTCGGTTCGAATCGGCTGGTTCAGTTTCAGCCGGTCCGGTTTGGGCTCCGGTTTAAGGTTCGGTTGGAGGTGGCGCCGGCTCACGGTTACTAGTTCGGTTCCATCAGGAGGAACGCGAACGAGGCTCGCCGAAGGAGGTGTTCGGCAAGTGCCGGTGGAACAGCATTGCAGGCAAAGGGCCCGCAGACATGGCGCGCATGGTCCGCCACATCTCGTTCCAGCTAGTGACAGGCGAGTGGTCCAAGCGCATGGGCAACAATATCACGCTCCAAGCTGAAAATGATCCCGCACACGGCAGCGGGCCAGCAGCTCGCCGACATCATCCATCAGTCTGTGATCGAGGTGAAAACGGAGAGGTTCGTGGGAGCTGCGCCGAGATGCAGTGGAGCGTCAGGTGCAGAAGTGGTTGAATCAGCACCGCAAGTGAGCAGGATCATCGTTGAGGATTGTGAAGGTGATGAGTGGGAGAGTCTTGCTGTGCTTGGTGAGAGGGGTGGTTGTCCTGTCGGGCTGCCTTTTTTGGAGGGGCACTATCAGTGCAGCAGCAGACCACGGCACCGAGTACTACTGAGAATTCGTTTCGGGTTTCGTTTCGCACCAGGATGGTGGCGGTGAATTTCAGGCCGTCCGTTGCTGCTTGTGTGCCTCTTGCTCTGCCTGTGCACTTCGCCACCAGATCTCGTTTTGCTTCTTTGGCGGCCCATGGCCCTTTTCGAGGATTTCTGAGTTGCTGGAGAAGATGTATTCGTGTTTGTGGGCGGCGGGGAGCGGGGGGGGGGGTGCGGAGGAGACGGAAAGGCTGGCGGCGGCGGATGTTGACAGAGCTTTTGGTTGCGAAGGTCCGCCCCGCCAGCAACGTGCAGGCAGGCCACCTCATTAGAAAATTAGAAGGTCCTCTAGGGGCCTTCTGTTTGGGACTTCGAGGCTGGTGCCCGCAGGCACGCCTGGTGGCCATCCACCTCGTCGGGGCATGCCTTCGGGGCCAACGGGGGTCACTCCCCCAAGCAGGAAACCCCATGAAACGATGGCTGATTCGGATTATGGCCGTCGTGGGGACGAGTTTTTGTTTTTGACGGCATTGGCAGCATAATCGGAGATCGTCCCCAACGCTCAGTTCAGTTCAGTTCCTACTCATCCTCTTCCATTACGCCCCTTCTTCCCTTTTCCTCCCTCCTCTCTCTTCCCCCCATCGCTACTCCCCGCCTGCCTCCTCTTTCATTTGCCCCGTTTTTCCTCCCCGCCCCCTCCCTCCAGTGCATACCTCCTGTCTCCTTCCGTCATCCTCCGTCCTTACATCGCACGAGTGCCAGAAAGAAACCGCAGGTTGTGAGGATTGCAGGCTCTCACGAATGCGATAAAGAGATTGGCGGTCAACCACCGCACCGCACCGCCCCAGATGATCTGAGATCTCCCTTGTCTGGCTCGCCCCCCCCCCGTCGCTGTCACCTGTCTCGCATTGCCTGCTCAGCTCCCACTGTCACCAGCCGCAGCCTTCGCGACACGCGAGCACGTCGCCAAAACTCAAACTCCTCCCCATCATCCCCCCTGGGGCCAGGAGGTTGTTTCGCAGCGCGGGAGGGTCATACAGCATTGGGAGGGCCCGCAGCACAGGCTGGCAAGTACACGAAGAAGCCGGAGAAGTGGGCCGCGATATCCCCGAACGCGAAGGACCCAGGGGGGGAATCGTCCTCCGACCTCGCACTCCGGGCCGTTTCAACTCCCAGGAGTTTGGTTGCAGCATCGGCGCTGGTATTTCCGCGGTCGAAAACTGGTTCACTCTGGCCTGATCCCGGCCGGCACTCTTTTTAATATGGTTCAATCCTGTGTCTAATCTGGTGTAGTCTGGCTCCGTTACCACAAGAGTAGAGAGGGTTGGTGGATCGCGCCGCATCGCCAATGCCTCAGCGACGGCGCGCGATCCGTAGCCAGTTTTTGTTCCGTCCTGACGTCGCCAATTCATCGGCGATGCACTGGCGATGCGGTGCGGTCCCCCGACCCCACGAGTCCTGTCCCCTTTTGAGAGGCCTCCCCGCCTGTGCGGCGCCAAACAGACACGACGGGCCCTCGCCAGGCCGTCGAGGATGGCATGGGATGACACAGTCCGGATTTGTGGGGGCGTAGGTGTGTCGCAATTGTCGTCGGTTTCGGAGACCGCCTCCAGGCCCATGGCCGTCAACAAACGGGTCGAGATAAAAACAAATATGTCGTCCTGGAGAGAAAGTCCAGAGTTACAGGGGCCAGCGACTCCAAGAAATCGAGCCGCCGGAAAACAGGGCCGTCCATCTAAATTATCGAGGACGCATGCGGCGCATCACCGGCCGCTCCCTGGGAGTTTGACGCACGTGAGGGCCAGGACGGCGACCGTGCCCGGATAGTCGATGAATTATGTTTTTAGGGGGGAATTATTGGAATCCCTCGGCAGGCCTGTCGGAGGGCCCTCGGGAGGATTTCTTATCCGTTTTGTGAGCATCATCAGGCCTCTTGGGGAAATTTTGGGGGCATCGGGTATACGGTCAGGGCGCAGAAATGAGGACCACTTCGGGTTCAGGAGGGCTCTGGTTTTCGGGCCGGTCCTTGGATCTAGTGGGGGGAACCTATTCGTGGCCCAGGCTCGCCGTGACCAGAAAAGCCACTTCGTTCCTTGTTCAGCGTTCCTTATGGTAGCGCGACTGCTGTATGGGGCAATGTTGCGGGGAAAGGCTCCCAGGACTCCTTTTGAGCTTCCTTTTTTGGAGCCCAGTTTGGGGCCTAAAGGCCCCGTTGGGGGTCTTTTGGGTCGTTTCGAGGCCCTCTTGGGCCGTTTGTCTGACCGTTTTGGGGCCTCTTGTCTTGGGGCGATCTCGGGTGCCTTCTGGGCTGTCCTGGAATGTTGAGACTTTGCGCGGAGGTCAAAGGCGCGGCGAGCACAGTGCATCCGCCGCCGTTTGTATTTCAAGCGGCGCCGTTCTATTTGACTGCCCCGTTTGCGAGGTGCCGCTGCATTTGGGTAACGGGAAAAGAGACGCTTACATCCGTCAACGATGTGCCCTCCGATCCCATATCGTATCTCTTATCTGCCCCATCGTTCTTATTGCATGGATATGCTATGGGATACCGTCGCACGCCTAAGGTGCAATGTGTGGTAGGGCTTACCATACTAATTATCCTTTTTCGTTTTGGTTTTGGAGTTGGGTTAATTTTCATGTGGCTGGCTCTGGCTCAAATACTGGTATTCCACGGCACAGAATGGTGGACTAATTCTGTGGTGGTGTATCCAATTGCGCCGGTGCTTCTTCGGGGATCACAACCACGAAACAGGCCTACACATGACATCGCAACAGCCCTCGGCCACGTGGGCCTACACATGCACGCCACGGCTCTTAGCCACTACGCTCTTACCCGCCATCAACCAGTTGGTACTTCACTATCCGATTCCATATCCTCACAATGCGGACGGGCGCCATATGCTAACATGAATCTTACACCAATCCTAACATTGCCGGCCACGCCAGTTCACAATCACGACAAGTTGTCAAACACATACATCATCCCACAAGCACGACGACCACGGCACCACCAACACCAATCTGACCATGCACTATATCAAGGTTGCTTCCTTTGGTATTATATGGGTATGTCTTTGTCTAGCAATAAAGCGCGTGCAACGGTGGATGGACGAAACCCGCGCCAAGGGTCGTTGCTGGGACTTTGCTGGTAATGTACGCCTCCGCGAATTCGTTCGCAAACACGCGTTGTTCAACAGCACCAAAACCGAACATCTCGGGGACGAGCGACAACTTACATCAGGAATTGCCCTCGTCGATTCCAGGGTCGAAAGAGGTGAACGCATCGATTCGGTACAAGCCCAGCTCGAGATGGCCAGCGTGGAAGTGGATCCGGTTGGATTCCACATCTTTGATTCCCAGATATCGACGCTCCTGTTGCGCCGAGCCCTGGGGGTAGGCATGTCCCATGCCTTGCAACGACAGCCCCTTCATCACCAGGCACCCGAATCCAACAACAGGGCGACCGAGTGCTGGAGCGGATGCGAAACATGGAATTCAGGAGCCGACACAGACACTTGCGCATGCACTGGCGTCGCGGAGGCCGACTGGTGAGATTACCCCGTTGGCGGCGATCACGCAGCACGATATTTCGATTTGGGCCCCTATTGTGCCAAACGCCGCTGGGGGCGACATCTTGAACACTCAAAACCAATTTGGATATTTAGGCGAACGGTGCGACGCGCACTGCGTCGCAAGGGCGAGGGCAAGCGTCGCGGCAAGGGTGGAAGTTGCCCTCGCGGGTTACAAGCACTGGGGATGATGGCGATCAAGCCGAATCTCGCCGATGACGGCCTCGGGGAATTTCCGCTCGGCGGAAGCAGCGAGAGCTTGGACGGCAGGCGCTGCCGGGGGAGGTGAGGAACCCGAGCTACTGGTTAAAACCGGCCACATAATAACATGTGATAGCTGCGGCCGTGACAGACGCGTCCAGGTGCAGTGCGCCAAGGGAAGAGGGAAGGCAGATGGCTCCGCGCTGCTTGGCTCAGAACATCGACTACACGTGAGAGTGACCCTGCGTCGGAGTGACTTTTGGTGCTGGCCTAAGTAAAAGGGCGTCGGGTGGTTTTTCTTTCGGAATGAGCTTGACCTCGCGTCGGCGCCCGCGTCGCGCGATTAGTTGCGCTCGCATCTGAGAGCGCCAGGTTCGGGCCCGCCCCTGGCAATCGACAGCAGCGCCCTCGCGTCGCACCCTGCAGCTTGCATTGGTTACACGGGGGGGGGGCGGTCGACCAGACGGCGCGTTGGCCGGCCCGGGGCCAATCCCGAATGTCAGCCCAAATCCGAAAACGTTTGGCTTCAACGTTTCTATATGTTTGGATATTTTTGAATATGTTAATATGTAATATGTTTGTTTCGAAATAATGGGGATATGTCATATACACTGTCCAAGGATATTCAAAAATCTTCCGGGCGCTCGGTCGGGGCCGGTTTTGGCCATGATGCCAGGCCTGGTCAGACGCCGCCGCGACGCGGCCCGGCAGCGCCAGATTTCCTCGCGGTGCCCCCCGACAGCGTCTGTTTTCGCAGCGTCTTCGAAGTGCCATTCGGGGCGCTCGAATTCAATCGGCGGAATTCCGCGGTTGCCCGCTGGCACAACTCGGGCGGCGCCCCGCCGGTCGTTGGCGCGGCGCGGCAGCGCCGGTTTGCGCGATTGCGTTGGGCCCCCAGGAGCGCCCCTGAAACCGCGCGCCAAAGGTCGGTCTAGCCCGCGGTCACTCTTGCGCGTTGTCGAGAACAGCACGAGGATGACAATATGAAATGCATCGTTTTTACTTAGCTAGATTACCCTGTCCACGCACCCCGCGCAGCTTGGTTCTCGATGGCCAGGCTTGCAGACGCAGCAGAGGCCGTCGAGGAAGCACCGATAACTTGTGCGACGGCTATGCGAGAATGCCGAGATGCCATTTGAAGAGTGGCTTGGTTTTTCCCTGCGCAGCCACGCGTGGCGCCTCCGACCGCAGCGTCGACTGCGCGTCCGACTCCCGCCGCGGGTGCCGACCCTGCCGCCGAGGGCGCTGCCGCTGCCCCGGCTGGGGCGAGCGGGGTGGGCGAGCCCTTCAGCTGTCACCGGCAGCCATCGGTCGCGCTGCAGACGAGCTGGCGGCGGTTGCGCTGGGGCAGACAACTGCGACTTTCTTTCTGATGCGTCGCCGACGGGCTCCTATCGGGGCTGGCCCGGCAACGGGCCGCATTTCCACAGGGCGGATGTCCAACCGTTGCGGCGATGGTTGCGCGCCCAGAAAAGGCGACAGCTACGCTCGCGATGGCAAGGGTTACGCGTCGTTCTCTCGCGATGACCGCCGCGCGCTGGGAGGTGCCAAATGACGGGTGATGACATGCAGCGGCGCCTAGACCGCGCCTGGTCCGCGCCCGGCACTCACCGCCGGCGTTCCCTGGAACGCGTCGCCAGGGGCCCCGGCGCGGGCAGAATCGCAATGACATCCCATCGCCGATCTGAGCGACGAGAAGAAACGCGCGCGTCAAGAAGCGCCATCTTTACGCTGGTCGTTCGACGCATCGGATGCGCGGGCGCCCGCGCTGCCAGAGCAATCTCCCGCGGTGCCCAAGTGGTCGGCCGCGGCGGAGTCCACGCCCCTTCTCCGCGCCGCGTCGCCCCGACCATGGGGGTGGTTTCGGTGGCGCATTTGCGACCCGGGTCGGCAATGCGGCTCTGGGCGGCATGCTGGCTCTGGACATCGATAGCGACTGGGGGCAATTTCTGGAGGATAATCGCTGGCAGAAGTTCCGGCGAGATTTTCACGCGATGAATGGCGCCGAATGCCGGGGGCGCCCCCTTGGGGCCAACGCTGCGGGCCAGATCGCGGGCAGCGCCGGCGCTGCCAAGATGGCGAACCGCCCGGTTTCTCCCAGAAGGGCCCGCCTGAACAGAGGTCGAAGCCAGAGCGGGAAGCGGGCCGGACGGAGCCCGCGCCATAGGAAACCGCGCAGACCCCACCCCAGACACGGACGCAATGTCCGAAGCGATGCCGGACCATTTTCGGCAGCGCGTCAAGAGCGCCCGCTCTGAAGAAATTATCGCGGAAGAGGGCGGGCCTCTCGCGGGGCGACGAGCTCGGCGACGATCAGTTTGGGCCGGCATCGCGGGCGAGGCTGCCG